GTAGTGGATTAGGACTGATGTGTGTGGTTGACCTTGGAGACATAAAGCGGTGTGACAGCATGAGGTTTAAGTAAGATGCTTGATTTGTAGGTTTGGAGAAAGAGGCAAAAAAAAAAAAAAAACATATTGTAACTGCAAAAGTCTTGATTCAAGCAAACTCTAATTGTGATATGTACAATATACAGGGCGTGAGTGATAGAGTAGTCGTGAAACTGCGTGAAGCGTGCACACCTGAACATGATGAAATTGTGTGCTTAGTCCAAGATTAGCTCATGGAATGGTGGTATCTTGGATGATATGTAGTGAATCATAGGGAATGCCTGAAAGAAAACCTTAAATTGAGAGCGTGCAAAGTGTCAGTTGTGTAGTGGACACCAGGAATAAAAAGGTAGACTAGAAAGAACTGAGGGGTTGCTACCTGCCAAATCAGCCACAGTGGCGGCGAGTATGACCGCCCTTGCTAATGAAATTGCAGGCTGCGGAGTTGTCAGAGCAGCATTTAACTGCCTTGCCGGTCCAAAGATGACCCCATGTGAGGGTGGCCGCCATGTTGGGGTAGATCTCTGACAAAGTAGAAGTCTCTCTAAAGGCCGGCAAGGCATCCGTCACAGTGGGCCAGGCATCCCTAACCCGAGGTTGCCTGGTGACAGAGGGACCCCGAGTGTTGTGAAAAGGAGGCTGTCGTGGTGTGAAAACTGTTAGGTGTTTGTGAACCTGCTAAATCAACAAAAAATTAATCCAGATAGTGGATGACATGAATAATTTAGGAGCGGAAGGGGACTATGATCAGACGATAAAAGGGTATTGTGAATGGCTACCTCGATGGGAATGGTACGCCAAGATGAGAAGTGTGAGGACCTGAAAAGAGGCGATCGTGAAACCAGCGTATGATTGCTGTGGACAGAAGGTGGTCCACCGTAAGAGGGTCAATGGATGTAGATAATAGGTTTTGGCATATGAGTGTGCCTGTGGGAATGGCGATAAGGCCCGTGTGATTGGAACAGAGTGGGCCGTTGAGACGTATGGAGTAGTAATAGTGGATGGTGGGGGACGGGGAGGGAAATGAGGGGTAAGTCAGACTGTATGACTGACATCGCCAGGTGAGGGCCTGCTGGGCTTAATGAGACACCTGGTGTGGCTATAGCCGATTCCACTTATCAGCCTGTTGATCATTTGGAGGCAGGCTGAGATAGCGCCCGGGGTCTCCTGATTGGAATCTGAGGAGTAAGCTGATGGCGCTTGTGAACTAGAGCCGGGCCTGGGGACATTGGCCTGAGCCGTCGTGAGCCTGTGTAGTCCTGCCTTACTGGTAGTGGCTGGAGATTGGATACCCCTGTGACTGAGCTCTGCTGACATTTTTGGAATGTACCAGTATACCAGGTAACTGAGGGTAGAAGGGGTGAGGGATTCCTTTGGAGACCCAGGCCTGACTGGCGTGCTGGGTATTTCGTCCAACAGCATACCGATTATTGGGATGGATTCTTGTGACATTCTGAAAAAGAAATAATGATTTGGAGAACTGGCCTGCTAGCTAGTGCCGAAGGGAAAAAAAATTCTAGAACCAAGTGACAGGTGAGGCCCTGCTAGTGCCAAGTGGCGGAGAGAGGCTCTACCTATGATTTGGGCCGAGGGAATTATGTGGCCACTTGAACGTGGCGGCAGGGTGTCAGCCTCTCGGTGACCGTAAGAGATTCAAAACGTGTGACCGTGACTTGGGAAGCCCCAACTGTAGCCCTAAAGAAGGGTGAGCGAGGTAGCTAACTATGATTTGGTCGTGGGGCTGAACCTCCGTGTATGAGGTGGGGGTATAGACCTCGCAGGACCATAGTGTTACTTAGGATAGCTAAGGCCAGTTCCTAACCCTCAATGCCAGTTCTCTAGCCTGATGGGGCTTGTCTCTTAGAATGGTGTGATATAACGTATGTAGATACTTAACCTTGAGTGTTTGTCCTCTTTCTTTGGGCAATGCGCAGGAAGATTACAATATAGTCTTGCTTCTACAGGGAACAGGCCCGGTCCGGGAAACCTTAGGGGAAAAAGATGCTAGGAGGCGTGCCACTAGTATAATGAGTGTAAAAATGTTGAACGTATGGGTAGGTGTGTATCAGAGATACTGTAACGTAAGAACTTGGGTAAGCTGAGGGACCTGAATGTAGGTCCGTAAATTAGAGACAAGCCCCTGGGTTCCCACAAATGTGAATATTTTTGAATGAAACAAAGGCGAAGTGAGGCCTTAAGAAGAAACGTAAACGTAGTGAGTAAGATTGCCAATACCTGATACTGTAATGCAGGGAACCAGGTAGCCTGTATGTTGTCGATGGCGTAGGACTTGGCGAGCTGCGGTAATGACGCAGGTCTAAGTAATGATATGTAGAACTAAATGACAAAAACATGTACCGTTAAATATGGTAGTAATACGGTGGATTATGATAATGAGATTGTTGTTGACATTTGTGAGGAATCTTAGACCAGATACGTTTTGAAGTTTAGAACCCACTTTGGGAGGTGGGGGGCTGTATGAGACCGTGGAGGCTGAATGAGGCCTCAAGAGAAAAAGGTAAAAATGGTAAACCTTCTTACCTGTTACCGAAATGCAGGATACTAGGAACCTCTTCTTGGAGCTTTGCTTGAAGAAAAGTATAAGTAGAAGGTTTGTGTGATTGATGAAATAATCGCAGTGAGGAAACACAGATCTGGCCCATTTGAAGTTTAGAAACCACTTTGTGAGGTGGGGAGGCTGAATGAGGCCGTGGAGGCTGAATGAGGCCTCGAGGGAAAAGAGAACTGGTAAACCTTCTTACCTGATACAGTAAAAAACCTAAAAAAACATATGCAGACTAAGTGTAAGGAACCAGTATATAAGAACTTTTAAGGAACAGAGATTTTTTTTTAAATCGTGCTAATGGTCTGTAATGAGCCTGGTGAAAAAGGACCGTAAGGCTTATCCTGTGAGCGGAGACCTTAGTTGCATAGAAGACTAATACATAAGGGAAAGTACAATAGACTAAGTCTTAGCAGGGTATCTTAATGCCTGGAGGTGTACTTTATAACTTAACTTATAAGAGAAAGTGGACAAACTGTGCCTTTAAGAAGATTTACCCTGTAAAAGATAGGTGTCCCATAATTATGTGACCATAGTGGAAAATTAGAAACACATATTATTTAACCAGTGGTGACTTTAAGAGTCATATAACAAAAACACATAAATACATATAGAATAAATAATGCGAGTGCTTAGATACGTGAAAGCATAACTATACTATTACAATAGATTAGTGAATTTAAACACTGTAGCTTCTGTGTTCGGTAAACGAATGAACAGGAGAACTGTAACGAGAAATAACTCCTGCGTTCGGCTAAATGGAGCATACAAAACAGATTTTTAAACGAAAGCCTATTGTACCTGTGGTCGGATGAACGAACAAACGAACGGATGAAATAGTTGAACGCAAGTTCGTTTAGTGCGCTCAGTAGTTAGCTTATACGAAAATTAACTAGAGGAGTGTGTACTCTGCGGCTGTTAGCCACACGAACGCAGAAGTACACGAATGGTGTAAAAGCACGAATGGGTAAGTAATAAAGGGAGCCTATCCCCACGTTTTTAGGCCAGAACGTGGGAAATAGCCGAACGCCATTTCCCACGTTAATGCTTACGTGGACGTGCCAGTCTCATGACCGGAAGCCGGGTAGCAGGTGGTGGAGTCGGGTAGAAGCCAGTAGATGGGCACGGAAGACGGAGGCAGGAGCTGCTGGCGACGGACTGCTTGCTGGAGACAGCTTGATACAGGACTTGGCGGGAACGACGAACCGGAAGTGCAGGTAACTATGGGGACTACAAACAGCTTGCACGACAAAGGTAAGTAGGGGGGTAGGGTTTATATAGTATCATAACTCCTCCCACAAATTCAGGCCAAATGGCCTTCCAACATATATGTATACAGACACACACACACACACACCCATACACATACACCAAAAGATCTGTGGGGAAAAAAATGTGGATGAAAACACCTTCTACCTAAAGTAAGTGGGTACATAATACATTGTTAAACACACATCTGTACATGTCACTCAAGCCATAAGACTTGCTTTTCCCACAGAAATCTCACTTTAACAGTGCTCTCACTGCTGCAAGGGATTCTGGGTGGATGTATGCAAATCAGCTCAACAAAGAACCACATGTTTGGCTCATTTTTTTCGACTTTATACATGGATTCCTTGGAGTATGTGTCTGTTGTATACAACAAGGGAAGAGGATTTCAAAATAGTATAAATAATGATAAATACAAGGAAGACGTTTGCCTAGTCCCGTGTATTTTCATAAGTGGTTCAAATGTATAACTGGCATTGTAAACAATGTATAAGAAGATCTATGTAACAAGTTTAGGTTTTTTGTTTTTTTTAAAAAGGCTTTAATAAAGTTTAGAAGCACAAATTAACAAAAAGACACTTTTTCTTTAGTTTACAAGTCATGTTAAAGACAAAATACAAACAATTGATTATTTCGAATAGGAATATTGATTAGTTATTTGTGCTATAATTTCATGATGTCGACTTGGTTTAGTGTTAGGTTTGTGGGTAAAGAGTTACTCTTTGTTATCCTAACTAACCCCATGATTTAGGGGGTTTACTCCTGTATTTTGCATGCCAATGACACACATTTTAAAGAATTTCAAACATTCTATGCCACAAAGTGGCCCCGAATGTCTTTAGAATTTAATATTTTCTTTTCCCACTAGACAATGATTATAGTTTCCAGAGTAGGGAGGGCAGAAGGAACCCAGTTTGTTCCACTTTAAGTCATATGTGTAAAATATTATAATTATAGTTCATGTAGTTTGCTTTTGGTCTAATGAATGGTCTTTAGAAGAAATAAAATGAGTTGACATTTTATGTATTTTATGCTCAACCTGGCTTGTGACAAACCAGGTTTTTAAAATATTTATCCTCCAAATAGTGAAAATCAAGGGTCTATAATGTTGAAATAGAAACAGATATTATATAAACATTCCCAAGAAGGTCAAGGCAATATACATAAATATGCAATGGATTAGAAGGATCCCTGTAGCCTCACATTTTAATGGTGCTGCCTCAGATTGTTTATTTTCCATCAGTTACCGTGAGTAAGATCTCAAACAGATCTCAGTCAGGGCTCTCATTATCATGCTATCCTAGTAATATGACGTTATTATATATTCGGAATATCTGCAAACACCAGACCTCACTGAGGTATGTTCAGCTTAAGCAATGACCTCTTCTCCTTTACAACTAGATGAAAAAGGTCCTTTGAATCATTAAACTGCATGTAAACCCTGGGGAGTCGTGCAACATATGCTTCATCTGGTTTTTAAGAAGCAGTGCATGGTGGCCCCTTTCGGAACAGTTTAAAAAGGGTCTTCCAACCAAAATCTGTTCATGCCACTGTACATCAAGTTCTCTTGTGTAATACTTTAGAAGAGATTAATAGGTAATTTCCACTTCTTACTTGGAGAAAAGTAGACATGGATAGGTAGGTAGGGCTGATTTTGGCAGTAATATGGTAACTCTGTTACTCGGGAGTTATTTCCCATTACCAAACAAATACAAGTATTATACTTCAAGATAGACAAAGATAGACAGACAGGCAGACAACAAAAGCCTCTCATGTGTTTTTATGGGCAAAATGGCGTTCTTATCAATGGTTAGGCATGTATACTTAGTTGTTGTCAGTTATAGATTTAAGCACCATTTAACAGCCGCATCACTTCTCATAGCTATGTATATTATGTTCTTGTTAATCTCATACATGTGTTCATGTAAAATAACGTATGGATTTCCCATCAAGGTTCATTAATTATTCTTTTTATGTCTTTCCTAGCTACTGAAATATCTGCAAAGCACTCAACTGCAAGCAGAACCCAGGAGCCTCGCATGGGACCATCCCAAAGTTACACCGGATACCCAACTAGTGCAGCCTTACGTTTTTTTTTTCTTTTATTTACATTGTCCCTGAAAAAGACTGAACATTGACTACACCATCTTGGAGCCACGTGGCCACTCTTTATTGATATAGGAGACTAAAAGGTAATTGGGAGTGATCCCTTATCTTACAACATATTTTTGGAGCAAGAATAAAACTGGATAATGGTGGAGCCATCAAAATTCTGAATTACACCAGCAAATGAGTCCGTGCCACAAACTGCGTTATGCTGGCGAGAGTCTCAACATCTCACTCTGCATCTCAAGCATGCCTTTACCTATCCTCAGTTGAGAGTCAATAACCACCTCAACCCATGTATGCAACTGTGTATGTCATGATCAGGAGGAACTAGAACGTATGGACTGAATCACAATAACTCGATTTTCAATATACCGGTCATTAGAATGGCAGGCTAACATGAAAACAGTTAGTAAGAATACCCAATGTCAAAGGGTTACAGAAATGAGTTTAAACATTAAACAAGCCAAGGTCAAAGGATCACAAAAGACAGGAACAGCAATAAACCAGAATGAATACCAAAGAAGATACAGCAGTAACGTGCTATTGGGCTTACAAGAACCACAACAGGGCAACAAGAAATGGTAGAGGTAAGTGTATATATATATATATATACACACACACAGGTCTTAACTCTTATTGGTCCAAGTCAGTTTGGAATTATGCATTATTTGTGGACGGTATTTGACCCCTCTTGTCTGACATCTGATGTCATATCTGTGCACCGTATTCTTTATTCCAAAAGCGAACGCTGAATTCGGGACAGCATTCGATCGCATATAAATGCACAATGCATGCAAGCGTGCAGCATCGGATGGAATGCCGGAGGAAGCAGGGAAGATGGCAGCCGACCTAAAAGGTAAGTGGGTGGCAAGCCTAACAGTGTAGATGCCCCCACTTTTACCTAACAAGCATCAGCAGCCTCTCTGACACAAAGTATTCATTACAGAATTATTATTATTATTATTATTATTATTGGCATTTATAGAACACCAACTTATTTCACAGTGTTTTACAATATTATAACGGGGATACTTTAACAATTACAAAATGTTAAAGGAACAATGGGTTGATGTGGACCCTGATCAAACAAGCTTATAACCTAGAGTAGCTGGAGTATAAAAACACAATAAAAAGGGCATCAAGGTTTATAGCAACTAAGTAATAAGGTGGGAAAGTAGCAGAACTGTAAGGTGACAGTGGAATGTAGCCCTTTAAGAGAGAGTAAGAGACAGGTTTGTGAAATAGAAGTTACTCTGGGAGGCCAAAAGATTTTCTGAAAAGGGTGGGTTTTCAGGGACTTCTTAAATGATTGAAGACTAGGGGAGAGTCCTAGGCAGGCTGTTCCAAAGGAAAGGAGTCCCCCATGAGACATCTTGTAAGTGCAGGTTAGCAGTAAGGGTGTAGGCAGCAGACAGGAGAAGGTCACCGGCAGAGCGGAGAGACCAAGAAGGGGTGTATGTACAAATTAGAGAAGAAATGTAACATGGGCTAAAGTTGTTTCAAGCTTTAGAAGCAATGGTTAGTATTTGAAATTTACTTCTTTAGGGTACAGGAAGCCAATTTAAGGATTGATAGATGGGTGAGGTGTTAGACGATCGAGAGGAGAGAAAGCTGCAGCATTCATTACAGACTGTAGCAGAGCAGTACGGTTTCTGGGGAGACCAATTAGGAGAGAATTATAGTAATCAATGGGAGACATTGCTAAATCATGTACAAGCTCCTTAGCAGCATCTTGTGTAAGAAAGGGGAAGATGTGGGAATTTTTTTTGAGGTGGAATCAAACAGGCCCAAGTAGAGAATGGTTCGAGACTAAATGATCGAAGGAAGCGATTGTAGCACACAATGATGTGTCATCAGGTGACATTGGGTTGTATACTACAGTTGACATATCAACTCCAGCTGCAGATAATGATAGTTGTTGTTCACATTAGACAAAATATACTTTCCAAGCTTGGGCAGATCATTTTGATGTGTCACCAATATGCATTTCCTTTTCCAGAACACCTTAATGAAAGGCATGACATGCCATAAAAGCCATGATGATGAATTTTAAGGAATGGCTTTCCTTTGGCATTGAAAGCTCTTATTGAGATGAACAAAAAGATAACCATGAAATACAAGGAAGAAGAACACAAGCTGAAGAAGAAATTTCTGAAAATGTTGTAGGAAATCGAAATACTGGTACTCTGCTCACTCATCAACTACCTGGCTTGTTCAATCAACTGTGTTCGTGGTTCTTTCCTTCAATGCTTTGCAAAATGAAGTTCACTGAATTGGTGGAGCATGGGAATTGCCATGCATGGATCCTATGTCCTCAATGCTTTTCTATAAGAAGCATTGGATTGGACAAAAGTCATGAGAACTGATGACTTCAGAGGAGGAGTCGATGCTGCTTCAGTAATCAAAACTAAACTATATTTATTTTTAGGGATAAAATGTTCCTTTAACTTCACATAAAAAGGTACAAGAGAAATACTGAGATCATGAAAAACTCCCCCTAGTTATTGCTACTACAGATATTGAAAGAAAAATATCTCTACTGTGTTGTGGGAAACTCCAAGATTTATAACCTTCCATGAGGAATGTGGAAGCAAATGTATTATTTTATGTTAAAGAAGAAGATATATTTGCAGCTGTCAGAACACTGCAAGCAATTTGCTTGCCAGTGTAGGCTCAGGGCACCGGAAAATTCAAACACAATACCGTTTTATTGCTCTTGCATTAGATTATCTTTAAATATATTTCAATTAAAGTCACCAGATTTCATGTTTATTGTAGAATGTTGGAAGAAACAAAAAAAAGTTACAGCAAAGCTGGCCTGAGTTTGGAGTCAACAAACAGTTTATACAAAGTTTTCATGAGTAATTTTGTTTATATGAGAAAATAACACAATACTGTTTGTTGCCTTGAGATTATAGGTCACCACTCTGCACCGAGTCAGTCAAATTGTGCCTTACAGAAAATAATGCACGGTGACATCATTGACATCATTTGAAACCAGGATCTGCTCATTACAAGCAATAAGCAGTCTTACAAAAATGACCACATTATTGAAATAAAAAATATTCCTTTAAATTCCTTCAGCTGCCAGTAGTTCATCTCTGGGCAAACTCACATTTTTTTTAAGCTGGTAAAGCAAAAGGTAGGATTTTAAGTAAAATAAGTATATATATGAAAAGATTTCAGAAAAATATGTAGAAAATTGAATAATATGTGATTTAAAAAGGATATTACTCATAGGGCATACCAAATACGGGGAGTTTTACAAACAAGACTCAACCCCAAATGACATCATCATTTATGTAGATGTAGACTAATCACATTTTATTACAATCATGCAGATATTTTTCACCGTTACTGGATTAGTGAAAAAGAGCCCTACACCTTATGTTAAAATATACCTGTCAATAGATTTTTTTTTACTTTAAGCAAATCATCCCAAAATACAGCATATTACTCAATGTAAAATGTTGAGATCTGCTCGCCTTCTCTCTGATCCAGCACCACCATGTCCTCAGCAGAGCCGGTGCAAGGATTTTTGTCGCACTAGGCAAACAAAAATTTGACCCCACCCCATATGCTCTGCCCACCATGTGACATCACAATGCCCCACCTATATGATCTGCCATATGGGCCAACGCCAGTGCTGCACTCGGTGTCTTTTCTCTTAAAAGGCAGTGTGTTTACATTAAAAAGCCTGCAGGGACAGGCTATAGAAACCAGAACCACTACATTAAGCTGTAGTGGCTCTGGTGACTACAGTGTCCCTTTAATGGTAGATAAATTAGAGATTAGTGACACAAATAATATACTGGATTGCCTACTCACAACCAGATGAGGACAAGAGGATGATGAAGGGCTCAGGCTGGAGCCTGGCTCCACTTGTGTGGTGTAGAACACGTTCTCTGGAGGCTGTTTGTAACAGTGCTCACAAAAATCAACAAACAGGAAGCAGCTCCATTTCTTGGGGCCCCTTACACAGTGCAATGTCTGGGCCCCCAGGGCCTGACCGTGAGTATGCCTACAAGGCCCACCCATAAGTCCACCTACATAGCCCACCCATGAGTTCGGGAGTAGAGTTTATGTGTGTAGGGGATGTGTTGTGTGTTACTGTAGAGTATGTAATGTGTGTGTTCCTATGGAATTTAGTGTATAGGGATACCAATTTGTGTAAGGGGTGTAGTGTGTATGCATAGGGGATGCAGTGTGTGTTTGTGTGTAAGGAATGCATTG